ATCGCCGGCGCGCGGCCGCCCATGGGCGCGGAGGCGGCGGAGGTGGGGGCGGCCTCGGCCCGGGCCGCTCCGAGGTGATCAGCGCGGAGCCCCCTCCGTGCGCGCAGCCCGAGCCGCCGCAGCGATGAATTCGGCGGAGCAGACCGTTACGTGGCTCATCACCCTGGGCGTGCTGGAGTCGCCCAAGAAGACCATCTCGGACCCCGAAGTCTTCTTGCAGGCGTCGCTCAAGGATGGGGTGGTCCTCTGCAGGCTGCTGGAGCGCCTGCTTCCCGGGACCATCGAGAAAGTAAGTGTCCCCAGCGGGTCCGGCCTGCGCCCGGGTACCGGGTGGGTCTCCGCCCGGGTCCCCGACCCGGGCGCGCGGCGGAGCGCGCGGGAGCACCTGGCGCGCGCCCTCCTTTGTGCGCGGACCCGGAGGCGCGTTGGGCGCGGGGACGGGTGGCGGGAGCTCCGGGGGCGCCATTGTGTGCGGGGCGGCCGGGGAGGGGACCAGGCGGCAGGGCCCGGGGAGGGGGGACCCGCCCTGGAGGGTTCGGGCCGGAGAGGGCTGAGGAGACGTCCGGGTTCTGGTCGGGGGTCACGGGAAGGAGAGTTGGCTGCTTGGTCGCAGATGGGATTCTGCTGCACCCTAACGTTAAATTGGGAGGTCGGCTTCGCTGCCAGCCCTGAGGGATCAGAAAACCGTTTCCGCGCCGCGCAGCTTCCTGCGATGGCTTTGTCTGAACAGTTTTCGTAGGTGGCATTGCAGTCTCACCCTGCCGTTGAACGGACGGGCGGCGGGGCATGTTTAAAGGATACATCCATCAAAGCCGAGGGCTGGGCTGTGAAATGACTTACTACTTTCCCCACCGAGGAATTCCTCACGTATCCAAGCCTGCAGAACGGCGCACGCAGGGTGTTAAAGCCCCGGCTTCTTTGGGGGTTGGTTTAGAATTTTCATCTTCACTGCGTGCCGGATTCCAGATTCTGAGCACCGCTTGCTCTTGACTTGTGGCTCCCCTGGGGCTGCAGTGTGAACCTTGACCACATCCGGAGGCGACCAAAGTTTGTTTTCATCTCATGCAAGTTCTAGAGCAGGGTCAGGAGTTGGGGCAACTTCTAAGAATGGCGAGCCCTTATATGTTAAAAATACTAAAGTCCTTAACCTTTATATATTAGAAATATTAAAATCCTATGTCCAATATTTTGGTCAATACAGTTTACAAGGAAATTTAAGATCCTCAGCTCTTTAAAAGGTGTTAAATATTGAAATCGGAGAGTACCATAATTAGGAAGAGTTATTTACTTCTTAATGGGGTGTATTGGCTTGTAGGCAGGACAGTTTGTTAATAACAAAATGTTAACTAAGTGACCTGCAAAAGTAAAATGTTTAATTTTATTCGTAAGTTTGCATATTATGTTGTTAAATGTAAAATCAGGTCAGAAAATGTTTAGCATAAATTTTGCATGCATACCAGTTTTAGATAATTTTCTGAACATATTTATGAAAACAGAACCTGCACTTTAGAACAAACAACTAACTTCCTGAGGTAAAAATGTTGCTTATAAATGAGGCAGGTCAATACAATTATAATTGAAGATGGGGTGGGCTAAGGAGCAGGGTCTAATTTTGAAGGCATTGAGAACACTGGGTTGTCATCTGGTTATTGATGCCAGTGATAATAAAAGACAGATGTCCAAATGAGAGGCAGGCAAAGTTTTCCAAAATAGGCTTAAAGAAAACGCTGTTCCATTTTAAGGGGAAGGCTTAAGAAGCTTTCTGTGCTGTGTTGATTAAAACATGCCATCATCAAAGCGTATGCTCTTTGACATATGGATTGGCAAACTTCAATAATCATTTTTGGGTTTCACTTCTAGAGAGATTTTCTTAGAACACTGTTAGCAGCCCTTTCATCTCTGAAACAACAAAGAAGGGAATGAATCTAATGTTTAGCTTATAGCAGGCAGATTGGACCAAAACACTCTGAAACTACAGTCATACGGAAATTTCTTGGGTTGATGTTGTTCAGAGCCTGGACTGGTTTATTTTAAACTATGGCAGTGAAGGCTAAATATCAAAACATCCCAGTACAGAGTGGCTGGCCCTTTGGGTCAAAAGGTAGGTAAAGAGTAAACCATTAGCCACTGTCTGAAATTCAGGGTTCTAGAAGTTTCCATCTGCTGTGAGGTCATTTGTGCTCAGCAGTTCCTGCATGTAGTCATATTTGCCTCAAAGCACATGTGCAAAGCAGCTTTTGCTTAAAGGGAAAAATGAGAGAGTGAGGTCGTTTCTCCCTAAAAAAGAAACACTTGGAAACCGGGCTGAACATTTGTGTGGCATTGAAAGGGTCTTAACTGCACTGATTGCCACATGGACACACTGATACTGGTGAGCTGTAAGCAGCCCGGGGCTTCCCTTTTGCAAGTTTATAAGTTAAAATCAAGCCCAGGCCTGGGGACAAGCACAGAATGGTTTCCCATGTGTCTTTTATTAAGAACTGGTCCTCTTGTGTTCAGAGCTAGGTGGCTGGAGGGGAGGGGACATTCCTTGGACTCCATCTTAGGCAGAGAAAATGGTTGGTCAGGGTCCCTTTCTTGAAGCCCCTGTCTCTACTTGTTCTCTGGAGGTTTCGAGGAGGGAGCTACAGACTTGCATCAAGTAACTCAGAGATGCTGTTCACTGTTGCTGGCCACATACTTTCTGCTGTAGGGAAGAGGGAAGTGGGATTGTTGAGTTTTCTTAACTCTTTGTATCAACGTCCTGCACTTTGATATTCCTAGGGAGAGCTAGGACCTGAGGTGGGCCCTCACCCTATCCCCCTCTCCTTGTGATTGCAAACCTATAGCCATCTTGTCCCTCAGTCACTATTCCAGCAAATAAACATGCCAGATTATTTTGTCAAAGGAGGTAGTGTTCAGATGCAAGAATTTTAGAGGACAGAATAATACTGAGAATAATTTAACACATGCTAAAATGCTGTTTTAATTTCACTTGTGAATGCAACATATGAAGTTGCTTAATTTGCATGAAAACCATTAAAAACTTGGTTCCTTCTGTGTATCCCAGAACAGAACAGAGATCTCTGCAATCCACATGGCATGCTCTGTGGCTCTGGGGCCACCATGATTTGGGAGTATAACTGAAATCAAATCCCCTGGGATGAACATGGGCTGGAGGACAGAAGGCCAAGTGATTGAGGTATGGCGCGCTCCCCTGCAGGTTGTAGGATATTCATTCCAGCCTTTCTCCAGTGTCCAGGGATTCCTAAGCCTGTGGAAACACATCCCGAGTCCTTACATGATGCTTTCCCTGTGGCCTCCATTCTGTGCAGATCCCTCATTTATATAGTCACCAGTTCTTTTTAACCATGGCCGCCCTAACCAGTATGACATCATACCCCCTAATTACATCTGCAGTGACTTCATATCCAGAAAAAGCTACATTCTGAGTTCCTGGGGGCTGGAACCCCCATGTGTGAATTTTGGGGAACACATGTTGTTCAACCCATACCAATTGAGCCAGGTCAGTTTATTAAGAACTTATCTACTTGCCGGGCGTGATGGCTCATGCCTTTAATCCCAGCACTTGGGAGGTAGAGGCAGGTGGATCTCTGTGAGTTCAAGGCCAGCCTGGTCTACATAGTGAGTTCCAGGCCAGCCCCACTACAAGGACACCCTGTGTCAAAAAGACCAAAAAAAGAACTTACCTGCATCAATGCCAGGTGCTGTGGAGGAGATAAACAGGTTCTTAGGTGGTTAGAACAAGAGATAACACAGCTCTAGATGCAAGGACAGTATGAGGCAGGACAGCACAGGTCTTTCTCTTACGGAGAATGGAAAGGAAGGCACTCAGGAGCCCAGCATGGGAGCTGGGTGGAGTGGGATGACCTTCTTGACATGTGGCTTTGTATTCCTCAGCTGGAATCCAGCAGCTGCTGGAGATCATCCACAGGTTTGCTTTCCCATTTGATGCAGGACTCACTTTCCACTCAGGCCTGGCTTTCTGTGGCAGATGAGGTTGCAGTAAGAAGAGAAAAGAAGTCTCTGTGGCCTGGGGGCAGAAAGTAGAAATGCCCCGAGGAGCCTGAGGCCAGCAATGGCAGTGGACATTCTCATGCAGAATGGGCTTGATAGGGTGAGCCCAGTGACTCTGCATAAAGGCATGTCAATTGACTGATAGTTTATTTGCAAGGAAATTATAGGACTGACAGTCCCTGGATTGTCTTTAAGGAGCTGTCTGTAAGCCCCTGTGACTAGAATCCTTGGTTTAATCTTCCAGCAAGCCTGCCTGGAGTAAAGCCTCAGCTTGGTGAACGTTGCAATAATATACTTTATTTCCTTTAGATGCATGTGATTTCACAGTCCCATCTCAACCCAGAGCTAGCAAGTGCAGTGAGTGGTTTTGGGTTTCAGGCCTGGGGAAGAGTGAACTGGGATTGCCCTGTTGGCTCATTCAAAAAAAAAAAAACAACTTACATTCAGTTTAACTCAGGGATATCTGAAGAGATTTCCTGAGGGACACACTGGAAATGTTACTATGTGTTTACATTGGCATTGTGCATGTGTGCGCACACACGTAGGTGCATATGCACAGAGGCATGTGCATGCTCACTAATGTGCATGTACACTCACATAGATGTATATGCACACAAGCAAGTATACATGCAACATAAAGGTGTATACATACTAACACAGAGCTGCACAAAGACACCTGTGTACACACCAACACAGTTGCACGTATGCAGCGGACTTGGGTCAGAGGGAGTAGGAAGGGGTTGCCATGGTATGTGTTGTCAGGGGCAGTGCTGTGAGAGCTCTGAGCCCGGGTCCTGTGTGTGCTGTCCTGGGAAGGCTCTTCCTATCTACAGAAATAACTAGAACCTGCCTGCTCTGCTCCTTTAAGTTCCACCCAACTTTAAATTCAGGATAAAAAAAGCATCTGCTCAGAGTTGCAGGCACCATTCTCACCTCCTTATTATATACTCCTTATCATACAGTCCTTCCTTATCATAAGAGCCTCATTTTGTCAGAGGTGACACTAAGGTGTGGCAGACATCTTTGCCCTAGGTCACTGATGTAGAGGTAGAAGAGTCTAACCTGAGTCTGAGGCAAGGTCAACAGTCACAGCCTTCTGGAACTTGCAACTCAGTATGGGATAGCACAGAGTGGCTAGACAGATACACCTGAGGATTAGGTCTTGTGATGTGCATGAACCCCATTCAGCCAAGGTCAGGGAAAGGAAGAAGTGATATGAGGAGCCTACAGGAAGGGCGTGGCTGCAGCTGCTATCTTCTTGCTTCTCCTGCA